GGGCGGGCGAGGCCGCCGGAGCAGGCCCGGGGCGAACTGCCTGCGCGGGAGGTCGGGGGCCAAATCGCAGGCCCGCCGGGACCCGGCCGCTCGGCCTGGGCGACGAGGACTGTCCTTCCCGGCCCGCCGGCCCCGCTCCCGCTGCCTGGTCAGCTCCGACCCGTGGCCGGGAAGACTCGCTTTTCCCCTTGCTTGGCAGAACTGAGATATTTGTAGCCGAGTTTCCCAGACGGAAGGCGTTACAGACCAGGGGAGTCGGTCAAAATAATCCTAACAATAGAGATCGGAAGACCAGGAGGAGTCTCAGTTTTGGCGTGTGTTCCAATTTAAGAATTGTTTTAATGGAATATAAGTTGAAATAATTTGAGGAGCCTGAAACGATGTTTTGAGTTTTCTAAGTTGCCAAAGTTTTCATTTGCACCGAAAGAAAAGCACTTTTCTTCCCGCGTTACATAATGGAGGATTAAAGAAAACAGTGTCCTAGGGCTTAAAATAAATGATGTCCTCGGAGCCTCCCGTCCCTGCGGGTGTTAGATGGGGGAGGGGGCGGCAAATTTAATTCCCCGCAGGGACATTGGCCGGCCTGTCGGGTGACACGATCCATTTTCCTTGGTCTGATGCAAGAAAGGTCGCGGCTTAAATTTCGGGCTGCTGGTGAATTGCGCGGGGCGCAGGGGGTCGGCGAGTGGGCCCCTCCTGCGCTGCTGCCGGAGGGTTTACGCAGTGTCTGGGCACCCCAAGTCAGCCCACTCCCCGAAGAGACCGAAACGAAATGCCCGCCAGCTGTGCCCTAGCAAAGCGGCCAGCGTGTTTTCCCTGTTTCTTTTCTTGTAGTTTCTTGGGAAAAAAAATCCTGTTTCTGTGAAAGCCACCCCCGCTGCCTTTCAGGTCGCTTACCATATCAGAAGATCAGCCCCCATTTTGGTCAGGCGACCAGGAGGCCTGGAAAGCGATGAGAGATTTCCAAGGTGTCCTTTCAGAAACAATTCCAAGCAGAGAAGGGGCCGAAGTATCTCCTTTACAATTGCTACCAAAATACTTAGAAAAGCTCCAAATACATTTTGGAGCGATAAGGAACGAACGAAATCTGGCGACAGAAACCGTTTCTCTGGGGCCTCGGCCTCCAGACTAATTTAGGCAAAGGAGTCTTCTCTCTTTACAACTTTCTCCGAGTCTTCAGTCCTCTTTACTAGTGTAGCAACTCGAACATTTTTGCTTGGAGATCAGTTTTTCCAGCAATTCTGAATACAGATATGTTCTGCTTAGGAAGCCCCCCTGGGTAGGCTTGCCTGGGGGATGCGGTGAGGATCTGTTTCCGATGTGCGGAGGTGCAGAGGGGAGATGCGAGATTTTTCACTTAGGGCCCAGTAGGTAAAAATCCTCCCCAATGGCGTGTTTGTTCCCTCCCTGTCCGGCCGTTCTTGGAAAGTAAGCCGAAACTCAAACCCCAAAGCTAGGCCTCGTTTGCTAAGCCTTTATGATTAGGTGTTTGGGAGTCAAAGAGAAAACTGTGAGCGAACGTCTCTGCAATTTATGGTAATAATGAGGCCTAATGGGGTTGTTAGAAAGATAAAATGTTATTTACCAAAACACCTGATGGGATAATTTGACTCGCTATGTTTTACTACTGATGATAAAAAGAATATTGATTGCAAATAAATCATGGCTTCTAAATGCCTGCAAACAGTTTGTGTTTGCTCGCTCCAGATCAAAGGCAAACTTCAGGGATAAAGTAACCAGAGCGCGGCCTAGGGAACGGAACCGGCTCCCCTCCTCGCGGCCGGCTGCTTCTGCCCTCGCGTTAATATTTTACCGGATAAGTCCTCCTTTTGTATTTAGGAAAACAAACGGTGTTTTTGTTATTGTTGTCGTTGATGGTCAGGATTAACATTTAAAATTATCTGTCACCACTATAGGCCTTTAAGTGTGGGCGACTCATTATATGCAGATTCTTTCTGGAGAGAAAAGGAGTGTGCTTTCGTTTCAAATTGCTGGCGGATTTAGACCCGAAGATGAGCGGGACGGTTTATTTTGTTTGACCCCCTCAGGGCCGAAGGGAGGAGGTTTGAGTAGTCGGTTTTTCATGTTTGAAAATCTGTTTTATCACTCTAATTAAAAGATTCTCCTCCTCCAGCTAGTGCGACACAAACTTGGAAATCCGGGTTTCTGGAGCTCTTGGGGGAGGGGGAGGCTGCAGGCGGCTTAGGGAAATGTTGGGGCCAGCCGGCTTCTGCTTTGCTCCTCTGGAAGTGAAATGCACTCTTGCTGGAACTTTTCTTGAGTGGCAGAAGTGTTCTCCGCGATCGATCGGAGCGCAGTTCCTGGAGCCCGGTGGTGATTTTGACCCTTTCTTTCCACAGGAGGGGATTGGGGCCCACTGCTTTGGGAAGGACACCGAGTCCCCGCGAACGGCCTGGGGCTGCCCCGATGGGGGTGGGGAGGGAGCGGCTGTCCCTCACCTTTCCGTCTTCAGGCACTCATCTCTCTCCCTTCCTTTCTCCTCCCTCGCTCGGCCTGTGGCTGCAGGGCTCACAGTATGAACTCAAGGACAACCCCGGGGTGCACCCCGCCACCTTCGCAGCCCACACCGCGCCGGCGTATTACCCCTACGGCCAGTTCCAGTACGGGGACCCCGGGCGGCCCAAGAACGCCACGCGCGAGAGCACGAGCACGCTCAAGGCCTGGCTCAATGAGCACCGCAAGAACCCCTACCCCACCAAGGGCGAGAAGATCATGCTGGCCATCATCACCAAGATGACCCTCACGCAGGTCTCCACCTGGTTCGCCAACGCGCGCCGGCGCCTCAAGAAGGAGAATAAGGTGACGTGGGGCGCACGCAGCAAGGACCAGGAGGACGGCGCCCTCTTCGGCAGCGACACTGAGGGCGACCCCGAGAAGGCCGAGGACGACGAGGAGATCGATCTGGAGAGTATCGACATCGACAAGATCGACGAGCACGACGGCGACCAGAGCAACGAGGACGACGAGGACAAGGCCGAGGCGCCGCGCGCGCCCGCCGCTCCCACCCCACTCACCCGGGACCAGGGCTCGCCACTGGCGGCCGCCGACGCGCTCAAGCCGCAGGACTCTCCCCTGGGCCTGGCCAAGGAGGCCGCAGAGCCTGGCAGCACGCGCCTGCTGAGCCCCGGCGCCGCGGCGGTCGGCCTTCAGGGCGCGCCTCACAGCAAGCCCAAGATCTGGTCCTTGGCTGAGACGGCCACAAGCCCCGACGGCGTACCCAAGGCCTCGCCGCCGCCGCCTGCCGGCCACCCCGGCACGCACGCGCCCCCGGCGGGCGCGCCGCTGCAGCACCCCGCCTTGCTGCCCAGCCACGGACTGTACACCTGCCACATCGGCAAGTTCTCCAACTGGACCAACGGCGCCTTCCTCGCGCAGGGCTCGCTGCTCAATATGCGCTCCTTTCTGGGCGTTGGCGCGCCCCACGCCGCTCCCCACGGCCCACACGTGCCCGCGCCGCCG